ACACTTGACAGGAAGAGGAGGGGAAAGCTTTGTGTATGTCAGTCAATTCAAGGACATAGTACTTCTTGGCAGCTACATCAGCCATTTCCCTCAGGACTCTGTGATGCATCTTATCAGGTCCTGTAGATTTAGGTATGTCCAGTTTCCTCAGGTGGTCATGAACCTGATCATAACTTACAGTAGGAAGCACTTTGGTCCCCCAGTCCCCTTCCTGGTGTCCATCCACTCAAGAGATGTGTGAAGACAGGTTGTCATGGAAGACTGAGGCAAAAAGATTATTGAGTACCTCAGTCTTGTCCTCATCTGTAGTTACCAGTTTTCCATTGTTTTTCAGGAGATACACCTTCTTTGACCTTCCTGTTCTGGCTAACATACCTGTAGAAGCCCTTCTTGTTATTGTTTGTGACCCTTGCCAGGTTCAGTTCCAGGTATTCCTTGGCCTTTGTCACTCCATCTCTATACAACTGAACTTCATCTCTATACTCTTCCCAGGTTACCTGTCCTTGTTTCCACTGCGTATGTGTTTGGTCCTTTCCCTTGAGTTTGACCTGCAGTTCCCTACCCAGCCATGCTGGTCTCTTGCCTTCCTTGCCTGATTTCTTGCTCCTGGGGATTGCTAAGCTCTTGTGCTCAAAGGAAGACGTACATATCTCTCTTGTCCCTGGGGACAGTGTTCCAGGGATCTTACTGATTTGAAGAGTTGAGTGGTCTAACTTGCCTCCTCACCTGACCCATATTCCTCAGGTAAAGACTGCAAAATCTGCCAATGCGTCATCACTGCAGCCCAGGCTGCCTCTAATCTTGATGTCCCCGATTAGCTCACTTACACTGGTGACCATCAGATCCAGTGTGACATCCCTTCTGTTAGGGCTGTCTATTACCTGGATCAAGAAGTTATCCTTCATGCATTACAGGAGCCTCCTGGATTGCCTACAGCTTATGTTTGTACTTTTGCAGCATGTATTGGGGAGGCTGAAGTCCTCCACCAGTAAAAGAGCTTGTGAGTGCAATGCCTTCTGTACTTGGAGCAAGAAGGCTTTGTCAGTACACTCCCTTTTGTAAGGCAGCCTGTGGTTGACACTGACCACAAAGTTCCCTTTGTTCCCTCAATCTCTGATTCTTACCCACAGGCTTTCAACCTGCTCATGGCTCTTCAGGACAACTCTTTGCAGTCAATCCACCTCTTGATGTAGAGAGCAACCCCTCCGACTCTCCTTCCTCCCCTGTCTCTTCTGAACAGCCTGTAGCCATTGATGGCTGCACTCCAGCCTTGGGATTCATCCCACCATGTTTCAGTTATGGCAACAAAGTCATAGCTTTCTAGCAGCACAGTGGCTTCCAGCTCGTCCTGGTTTTGCCCATGCTGCTTGCTTCGGTGTAAAGACACCTCAGCTGGGCTGTTGGCTGTGTTGCCTTCCTAGAAAAGAACAGAAACCAAGGTGCAGTTAGAGTTGCAGGGTGTACTGAATCATGCAGCTCATTAAGGAATTAAACTCATGAGTTTTGGATAACCATTATTAAAGGAAAGTCTTGCACTGTCTGATAAATGAACTCTAACAAAAATAATGCATAAGTAAAGCTTTTTATCCTGTTTTCCTGGGGAAACAGGGCTCATAGATGTGTGCTGTCTGTTTTGCTCATCAGTCTCTAGCAGTAACTTTTGATAGCCAAATTGAAATCACCAGCAAATAAGTGGAAGTTCAGTAATACTTTCAAATAGGAGGAGAGACCAAATTAGTATGGTTGAGGTAAGGAGAACATTGACACTATTTATTCATTTTGGCAACAGCCATGTCAACAATCCACACATCCTTCCCAGCTTCTGTCACAGCTTTGTTCTCTCCTGCTCTGCATCCTGAGGAACATGGGAAGACAGCAGAAACCAGGGTGTGGGAGGAGGTTAGGTACAGATAATGCAGTGCCTGAACAGTGAACTAGGCTGCATTATTTTCTTGTTTCTAATGGGATGTTTTTTGCAATCTAATTTTCTGACTGCTTTTACCTGAGAATCCCTGAAGTGCATAGGTTTTATTTCATCTACACCATTAAGCAAGCCCAAGGGATTAAAAGATTTCTGTTCCTTTTTAGCATTGGATAGATTTGAGAGCTGGAGATATGCTTTTATCTTTAATGAAACTGCATACTATTTGAACTATTTTCAGTTTGAATGTTTCCAGAGTTTAATTAGCAATACATGAGCATAGCTCTACAACAAAGTCTCACCTCTATTTGCTATTTACAGATTTATTGCCTTTGTGCTATAAATTTGTTCTGTATGCATTATTTCAACCCTATGTGTTGTCTCCATATTTTCTTAAAGTAGACTAAGAGATCCACCAAAATGCAGTGTAAAATCCATCCTCTTTAACAAAGCAATGGGATTTTACAAATTCTGATTAATAAATTTGTTAAATAAGATACACTTTCCATAATACTATAGACTGTAAACTATTGTATTTAATAAGAAAATTTATTAAATATTAATAAATTTGCAGGTAGGATTTTTCAGGATTATCTCAAGTACCTTAAGCAGCATCATTGCAAAAGACCTATTTGCTTCTCTTAGTAGAGGCTCAGGCTTTAAATTTAAAGATCCCCTGTTACCTAATCTTAAAAAAATCCAGCTAGAAAATGTTAACACTTGCCAAACAAGAAAAGTTATGGTAATTTTGTCAAAGAGCCTATTTTAGTTCAACTGCTAGCATAAATAACTGCTAAATAACCAAAAAAATAAATAAATAACCAAAGAAATAAATCATTGTTTCACTGTCTGTTGAAGAATCTTGTCAGCAAATAGAAGAGAGCTTAAAAAAGAACAAAAATAATCATGTTTCTGGTGTAAATATATACCTTCAGTTTGATGTTTGGGAGAGTTTGCATTGAAAAACAACTCTGAATGGACTAGTTTGCTTGCTTGCCAAAGGCTGATAAGCAAGTATACTCAGTGTTATGCTCTGAAAATATAGAACTATAAAATATGTGTCCCTCCTTAATTTATAAAAAGAAGTAAAACTGAGCAATAACTTTAATGAAAAATGTGCTGAGTTTTTCAGTATTTTTTTAAACCTCCAGTGGTGACTTGAAGCAGCTGTACCCTTTTGGAACATGGGTGTTTTCAAAGCAGAACTATCCAGGCGTTTCAAATTTGTTTCTCATACTGTTTTAGTAGATATCATGGAAGATACTTTCAAAATTGTAATGTCTGTTTTATTTTAGAAAGAGGAATAATTGTTTTGTTTGGAAGAGTATCTATTTCCAGTATATGAAAGTCTGATTTAAATTCATATATCCTCAAGGCACATGTAGATGCATGAGTTACATTGTCCTGTCATATAATTTTAATTGTTCAGAAACCTATTTTTATCTCACCTTCATTCACATTTCATCTTTATAGAATCTTTGGTGTATACATTTATGTATTATTTTAATCTCACAGGTTTTCAAAGCTGCCTGTGTACAAATCATGAATTCTCTTTAATAGGATGGGTTTACTTTGTGTCTCTGCCTGCAGATTTGACTCTGAACATGAGGCTTGTTTGTCTTCAGTAGTTTTCTTTTTATATTTGTTTTGGGATTACATGCAGAGTGAGATGATGAAGAGCAAAGTCTAATTAAAGTTTGATTGTTATGACTGTGAGAATAGGAGTCTCATGTTGGGTGGATGATAACCAAGCTGATCCAACTCTTCATCTGTAAGAGGTTGGTAAATAGGCATTGCATCTACTGCTGATCAGGCAGACAAGCAATAACTGTGAATGAGAAGCTACCTGATTATTGGGTTTTACAGCAAGAGTTCAGTCCACTTCACGGTCCACTTACCTAGCTTCAAATTCTGTCGGCGACAATTTCACAGGAGACAGTGTTGGAAAACATGGTAAAGTCAAGGGAAATGTTTTCCCTTAATAAATTCATGCTGACTACTACTGAATCACCTTTCGTGTGTTTGGAAATGTTTTCCAGGAGGACTCATCCAATGCAAACTTGTAAATTGTGGACAGGTCCTTTTATTCATAGATGTGTATGTGTGTGTGTGTATACACACATGAGCTGTCTAGAGGTATAATCTAGATTGTTCATAGGATGCAGTGATCTGATTTTTCATGGTTATGGCAGTGTAGTTATTCTACGGGTCAGAATATCCCTTTGTTGGTCAAAAATACTCATTTCCACAGAGTTACTGAATATTAATGTTATAGGGGTATACATTTCTATACAAATATAACTTATAGTAATTGTATTTAATGGTTTTTTTTCTTTGAAAGAACTCCAGTGCATTTATATATAGTAATGACTATTTCTTCTAACAGTGGTTTATGAAATAATATCATGTTTACTTTGTAGAGCTGTACATTTCATTACATGGTAGGTACTGATTTCAAGGAACAAAGAAAGCAGTTTGAATTTTTTTAATAGAAAATACTGTGGCAAAAAAAGTTACTACCATAATTCTCCTGTAGGTTCATGCCACTCCTGTGGTTCAGGAGAAATGCCTTGGTTACAGCTTGTTACAGAACAATATGAAAGTGAATTGTTGGAATTTGAAAATACATTTGAAAATGCAGTTTGCATTTAATCAAGTTTATTCCTGCTAACTCTATTGACAGGAAGCCCTAGTGCAGCTCTTAGCTCGTGCACTCAAATTTCAAAGAACTTGTTTGTTCATTTGCCTACCTGTAGCAAACAGAAGTACTGTGTGTGCAGGGTAGTCACCAACTTTCTATGTCAGCAGATGGGCGTGATGGCATCTAATGCTGAAAATCTGCATCCTGGGGAGTTCACACTTTTGTGTTTGTTCATGTGGAAGTTTCCTGTCATGTTAACCTTTTGAGAATGGATGTTGGTTTCTCATAGTTCTCATATGTGTGTAGTTAATAAAGTTTTAAACTCTAAAAGTTTTGACTTTTTTCTTTTAATATGAAAATCCCATTTCTATTTGAGATAATTGTTTGGGGTAAAAAAGACATATTTTGAAAGATAAATTTACTATTATTTCTCTTTAGTTTCAGGCACTGCATTCTGTGTCACAAACACTGGTTTTGCTGGGAAGAAACAAAATACTAAGAAATTCCTTAACATCACTTCTACTATCAGAAGTCCATAAGTTTGCTGAGCAGCTGTTGGAAGCTCACCAGGTACTGTCATCTTTTCCTTTGGAGAGGGGCCAAAGACTGGTGTTAGGGAGTAGGTTGTCTTTATCTACTTGTTTTGTGAAATGCATCATTCTATAGAATATGCAAAGGTTTAAGAACCCAGAAGATGCTGGCAACTAACTTAAACAGCAAATTCAAAAAGAGAACTGTAAAGTAAAAGAAAATTACCATATGGAAAAATAAAATTGTACTGCCAAGAGACTTGAAATTCCTTCCACCTTTGGAAGTAATGAAATGTTTATTGTTGTGCAACAGGAAACATAGAAAGATTTTCTGACAAAACACTTCATAAGGTTCTGGAATAAAACTTTTATGTTCTCTTCCCAAAGCTTATAGGACTTTCTTGTGAACCTTCTTTTGAAGGTTCCTTTTAAACCACTTTGCATTTCAGTGGCTGTCAGAAGAATAAGTGAGCTTCAGGCACTTATGTAGAGACTACAGTGACTAATTTTACAATGACAAAGTAGTCTTGAAATGTTCACCTGCCCAACACAGTTTTGGATTTCTTCTGGGGATAGCAGAAGGTTCAAGGTGGATGAGTTGGAGGGCTCAGGAGTTGTGCATCTAGCTCTAGCTGACACTTTGTAGGACTTTGAAAAGCTGCAGTTCATGT